GCAGGTTTACCACGACAATGATGAGGTCATAGCCACTTCCACTGAGAGTTCAAAGGAAAGTCTAGGAGGCCAGACAGAGGCCTGATACAGGGGCAGAGCTGCACAGAGCCCCCTGGGACAATGACTAATGAAGCTGTGGGAACAGAACCCCCAAGACCTCAGAACTGTAGCCTGAGAGAACTGCAATCATGAGGTTCCAAACCAAAAGAGCTAAAGTATGGGATAAGCCCAACAAAGCCATGGAGGTGGGGCCTCTTGAGGTCTTGTGAGGCCCAGCCCTAGTCCCACTGTGTGCAAGATGCCAGAAATGGCACTTTAAGAGTGAATGTCTATCTTCCTGGGTTTTGAACTCATTTTGGGTTGGTTACTCCTTATACTTACCTATTCTTTCCTTTCGGAATGGAATGTTTACCCTATGCCCACTACTGAATATTGGAAGTAAATAACTTGTTTTGATTTTATAAGCTCATAGTTGGAAGAAGTTAGCCATCATATCAAACGAGACTCTAGACTTTGAAGTTTTGAATTAATTCTAGAAGGAGTTAAAGACTTTGGACTGTTTGGATGGAATCATAGTATTTTGTATGTGAGAATGAGTCAAGGGGAATAGAATGGAATACTATGGTTTGAATATGGTTTGCCACCACCCAAACTCCAAAGAACAATTCATTTAAGATATGAATTCTCAGTGCGAGGTAGTAAGAGAGTGGAAACTTGACCTGACTATGGTGTATAGAGGTGGGACTTTGGGAGGTCCTTAGGATTAGAAAAGGTCATTAAGGTAGAGCACCTATGATTGAATACTGTTGGTATTATACAAAGAAAGAGAACAGAAAACACACACACAAACACACGTCTTTCTATAAGATGCTCTGCACAAACTTGGGGCACTGCCAGAAAAAACAGACACAGCCCCTCAGACTTGGCCCAGAACTTTCAGCCAAAATAAACCTTTTTTTAATAACTTACTGAGTCTATGGTATTGTGTTATTACCAACAGAAGACAAACGAATATAATGAGTAGAAGCTAAGAGTGGAGGGAAGCAAGAGGGTATGCTTGAGGGAGTGCAGCACAGTCACTGTGGCTACAGAACAGAAAATGAGTGGACTGCAGTGCAATGTGAGGCTGGGGAGGTACCTCAAAACCAAATACATTGAGGAGGACTGGGAATAAAGTGCAAAGATAGAGCCCTTGTTTAGTGTACAAGGCCTTGGATTTGATCCTCAGTACTACAAAAAAAAATTAAATAAAAACCATTGAGATTTGTAAGACATGATAAAGATTGTGCATTTTTCATAAAAGCAATGGTTCTGTGGTTGCCTACCTAAACAAAATAACATAGTTATATTTTCTTTTTTGAAAAGATGAATCTGTCTGCATTGTGAACAACACATTAGATGGGGCAAGAATGGGCATGGTACACCAGATGGAAGGCTGGTAATATTCTAGTCAATCAACCAAAGCATGAACCAGAATAGTTACCATGTAAATAGGAACATTTATTGAGCTGCAACTATGTGCCAAGCACTGAGCTAAATACAGAGATGCAGCTTTTGCCTTCAAAGAAATCATGGTCAAAAACAGAATCACAAACAAGTGGTTATAATATCACATAATACAAAGTTTAATCTACACAGAACTTGCACACTTATAGAATGCTAGGGAAACTCTGTTCCCCTCACTCCATTGTCTTTGTGCCTCCTCAGTTGACTGTCCTTTCTAAATTCTAACTCTTGTCCCTCCCATTGATATTTTAGTTTACAAGCCTCAGTTGGTGTAAGAGAGACACATTGACAGAAGACAGAATCCAGGTTACTGCACGTTTGTGTCTGCAAGGAGTGGATCCTCTTCACACCAAATCCTTCTTGAAGCACAATAAGGACCAGAATGAACTGCAGCAAGACTCCTGACTTTGTCCTCTCAGGGATGTCCAGTGATCCAGAAAACCAGCAGTTCCTCATTTGTCTCTTTATGGCTCTCTATTTGTTGGGCCTCCTTGGGAACTCACTCCTTCTGCTGGCCATTGGCACTGACATTCACCTCCACACTCCCATGTACTTCTTCCTCAGCCAGCTCTCCCTGGTAGATCTCTGCTTCACCACTACCACAGCCCTTAAAATGCTAGAGGATTTGTGGATCCACAATGGATCCATCTCTTTCTCTGGGTGTCTGACCCAATTATACTTCTTTGCTGTTTTTGCTGACATGCAAAACCTACTCTTAGCGATCATGGCCATTGACCGCTATGCTGCTGTTTGCTATCCACTGCATTACCCACTTGTAATGAGACCTTCCAGATGTGGGGTGCTTGTGGGTATGTCATGGGGAGTAGCCCACTTGGTCTCTCTAGTCCATATCTTGTTGCTATCCCAGCTATCTTTCCATGTTAATAAAGAGATTCCTCACTTTTTTTGTGTGATTTTGGCCCTCTCTTATGGCTTTCTTGCTCTGATGCCCAACTCAATGAGGACCTGACAATGGCTCTGGCTGGGGTTTTGGGAATCAGTGCTCTCTTCTGTGTTATAAGTTCCTATGCCTGTATTTTCCATGCTGTGGCCAGAGTTCCATCAGCACAGGGGAAAAGGAAAGCTCTGGCTACATGCAGCTCCCACCTCTCCATGGTCATCCTCTTCTACAGCACAGTATTTGCCACCTACCTGAAGCCCCCATCAACTTCTCACTCCTCTAGGGAGCTGGTTGCTGCTGTCATGTATACCCTGGTAACTCCCACTCTAAACCCTTTCATTTATAGTCTGAGAAATAAGGATGTAAAGAGTTCAATGAAAAGGATCCTGCACATGGAGTGTTCTCAGGATTATGGATCATCCCAATAACCATGTACTTTTAGAAAAATTACTCCCTATTTCACTACCACAGTAACAAAGAGAGTTGGTCAAAATCATGGCCATGCTAGAGCATTATTATATGATCCACTGAAAATAATACTGGATTGAATTGGCTGTTCGTTAAATAGCTTTTGATTATACATTCACATCACTACAACATTTGATAACAACCATGAGCATTTCTCTCTGGGGTTTAATATTGAAGATCCTCCCCATCACCTTGCTATAGTCAAAGTCATCTTTGCTGTCATCAAAAAAGATAATTGATGTCATTAGTACCATCATCAATAGTAAGAGAAAGGAAACTGGGCCAATTCTGTTTTCCCCCTTTAGTCCTCCCTTTTCAGAATGTTTTATATATCCATGTGTTTGTGCAATGTTTGAGACTTTCTGATTCTATGGCTGAGAATTGGAAGACAGCTAAAATCAGGAGGACTTTTTTGAAAACACTTCTTTTTTGTAGTAGAATAAATGAATATTTCTTACATATGTTTGTGTTTATTAAGTTTTAAGTGAAAACAATAAAATAGTTCATTGCTCTATGAATGAACTGATCTTTCAAATACAGACTGACAATGGGTGATGTGGGTGATATCTTTGCATTATAAAAACAGTACACATTATTTTTTTAGTCATTATGATGTTTTTGGCCTGTGTTCCTTTATATACCATATACATTATATCAAAAAGCAGACTATATGTTTTGTTAATTTGTATCATCCACTGTATTTCATATTATTGTACATTATGAATTATATGATCAGTTGAAACACTTAATGATTAATTCTATGTTGGTGAATAAATTGATACAGGAGTAGATATAACTTTGCCTTAAGAAGAATATTTCTGAAGTTCTCAGACTGCATTCTCTTTTCCACGTTCACATCTTAATCTAGACTTTCTTCCTGGGTCATCTAGAAGTTAATATCTTCTTTTCAATTCTAATCTAATGACTTGCCAGAGCAGGTGTTGATATATCCTCTGGCTAATTTTAAGAAATTATTTAAAGATCAATGGAGAAATTTGAATATGTCTTGTGTATTAGATGATATTAAGGAAATATTGATAATTTTGTTAAGTACTCTAATGGCCTGGTGGGCATGGTTTTTTAATGTCTGTATCAGGAAAGGAATATACTAAATACATGTGGAATATATATGTGCACAACATATTTACCCAGTATCTGGAATTTGTTTCTTTCCTTCCCATTGATAAGACAGAATGCATTACTTTACATCTACTTTTATTTGTGTGGTGCTATTTTCTAGCAAAACAAACAAGCACAAAGGAGCTGTAGGGAATTCAAACAAAATTAGCCAAATGTTTATGTTGAAGCCAGTTAGCAAATTGGGACTCATTGTGCCATTCTCTCTATTTTTGTATACATTGTAAATCTACGATTAAAAAATTTAAAAATAAATAAGTAAAATGAATTCATCTTTAAATATTTTTGAATATACATATCCTTAGACCTAGCAATTTATGTCCAAAAAATTTATTATAGAAAAACCTGAATGTTCACAATGTACACATAATAAAAGAACTAATTACAACTAAAACATTCCTACCAATAGAAGATTATTTAAGCAAATCATGGTTAGCCATACAATGAAGCCCAAAAGAATAAAGAAGTAGATATTTTTTAATATAGGAAGTTGTTCATGACATAGTGCTCAATGGAAAACCAGATTTCAAGCTCTATGATACATAAATAAGTAGAAAGAAATTTTGAAATATCATCTAGCAATAATATAGTTAATATTTCTAAATTTGTTTTGATATTACTGTTTTGCTTCTCTATTTTCATTTTTCTTATTATTATTTTATATATATATATATATATATATATATATATGGGGTACAATGTGATAATTCAATTCATATATTCATATTCAATACATATATAGCATATACTATGGGTAATGATCAAATCAGGGTAATATTTATGGCATATTTAATGAAAAACTGAAAAAAGTTTAAATAAGTTTTTAAACTAACATTTGAAAAGTACTGCTCTGCATCTTCTTTTTTAGTGTATTTTGGTTTAACTACAGGAGAGCCAAAGGGGAAGGTTGGAATGGAACAGTTATTCCTTTCCAGCCACTTCTGGAGACTTCTCAGTGGAGACGTCCAAAGTAAAAATAAAATCTTCACTACCCTCTTTCTTCAACCGTTTCCATTTTTTTAACTTGAAGAAGCCTTTGTAGTGCCTGATGAACCTCCTTGTTCCTGAGGGTGTAGATGACAGGATTGAAGATGGGAGTGACCACAGTATAGAGCAAGGCAAAGACCTTGGAGAGGAGCTGGGAGTGGACAGCCGAGGGCGCGATGTACAAGACCATGAGAGTTCCATAGAAGGTGGACACTACAGCAAGGTGGGAGGAGCATGTGGAAAAAGCCTTTCTCCTGCTGGCCCCAGCAGGAACTCTCAGCACAGTCACCACGATGCGAGCATAGGATGTCAGAATCAGTCCAAATGGAACAGTGAGGAAGACTACAGAGAGAACAAACGTTGTCACCTGGGCTACTCTGGGATCTGAGCAAGCCAGGACCACCAAAAGCATGAAGTCACAGTAAAAGTGATCTATGCGGTTGGAGCCACAGAACCTCAGCTGGGCCATCAGGACCACAACCAATCCATCTACCATGAAGCCAGACAGCCAGGCTGTGACCACCAGCCCCATGCACCATCTAGGCCCCATCAGGAGTGGATAGCGAAGTGGGTAGCAGATTGCCAAGAAGCAATCATATGCCATAACAGCCAGTAGGAAGCATTCTGCTGTGGCTAGAGAACCAAAGATGAAGAACTGGGTCAAGCAACCAGTCACAGAGATGGCTGCCACCTGCAGGAAGCCCTCCAGCATTTTTGGCACCACTGTGGATGTATAAAGGATCTCCAGGAAGGACAGATTAGCCAGAAAGAAGTACATGGGCGTGTGCAGCCTCTGGGAGCTAATCACCACCACAATGATCAGCATATTCCCTATGACAATGAAGGCGTAGACAACAGTGAACACAATAAAGAAAAGGAAATGCAGCTCAGGGATGTCATAGAAGCCAAGGAGGACAAATTCAGCAATAGTTTGGTTTTCTAAGGAGGCAATTTCCATGTGGATCATCCAGGTTTCTATTTGTCAGTAATTGGAGAAATTTTAGTGCATCTCTAGGAGAAATTGTTGTGCATCTCTATTTCTTCTATAGCAAACATAAGATTCATAGGACTAAAACAAAAAGGATGAAAATGAGTCTTCAAATGAAAATTACTTTTAAAAAGTCTTTGTCTATCCCCTCTTCATTTGTTACTCATTCTCCGGCTCTCTTTCTTCTCTGCCTTCCTTAATTGTGCATGTTCAAAGTTCAAGAGAATTAAACACAATTTTAGTCTCTCAAAACCCTTTGACCTACTAATTCCACCTGCTACTATACAGTGAATTCTAGCAGCCAAATCTGTATAATCAGTCATGGTTTCATCTGCACCAGTGTAATTTCCTCCAAATGTCTGGTAGACATATTCCAAAACAACAGACCCTTTTATCCTCCACAGCGATAGCCAGCATTTTTATGAGTGGCTTTAAAGTTCTATGTGAATCCCGTGGTCACTGCCTCAGAGTCATCTTTAGTTCATCACCCTTTTTTCTTCTCCTTCTGCTATCAGTGAAATTTCATCAACTATTCCCTGGGAAATTTATATATATTTTTCCCTCTCTTCCTACTCTTACGTGAGGCTGATGATCTACTGTGTAGTCATCTAGTCTCTGTTTATGACTCTCTCTTACCAAAATAACTTTCTTGAACTACTAGCTTCATTCTTTCAATACTGTGCAAGAGTTAATAGTAAAAATGTGATAAATGATTATGAGAGGGAAGTATGGGTGCAGAGAGAAAACAAACCCCGACCAAGGCTGTGGAGCAAAGGGTATAGGAATCAAGGTCAGGGAAGGCTTCCTGAAGAATGCAACTTATAGGCTGTTTTGAAGCCAGGTAAGAGAGGACCAGGCAAAAGGTAGGGAACTGGGCAAGGTACCCCTAGCAGGAGAGCATATATGAAAGTCAGGAGGCATAACTGAGCATGGCATTTTTTAAGATATTAAAAATTAATCTGTGTACCATTAGAGCGGATTTTTGGATACTATCCAAGATGATGTGTGCTTTTTACTAAAGACAATGAGAATATGTTGTATAATTCAGAGCATAGGAGAATAATATAGGAAAAAATAGAGCTAATCATATATGTTCACATATATAAAATTTAATTGTTGATTTCTGTATTATGAGATTCATAAACATATTATATTTATCATCATATAAAATGTAAGTTCTTTAATGCAAACAGCATAGAATGGCAATTACCTAAGAGGTGGGAAAATGAATGACTCAGGGCCAAAGGCATTGGGAGACTTCTCACTGCATGCTATTTTAAAGCAAGGAATCCCATTTTCCACTCCCCTGCTCACTTTTAAATTCTCAAAGACCAGCTTAAATTTCATCTCCCCAAGAAGCCTCCTTCACTAATGGAGCCCTTTATTTCTTGAGTAATCAAGTACTAAGTATCTGGTCTGTAGAAGATATTACACTAGTTTCCAAGGATACCAGGTCAAATAAATTGAGTCCATGACCTTAAGAAGTTTATAATCTTATGTAACATCATCAGATAATGGCAATACACTGAAAGAAAGTTAGGGAATTCAACCCGAAAGAAATCTTCCGGGAGGAAGTGAAGCTAGACTAACTCTCCATTACTCTGGAAAATGGAAATAATGGAAATGAGAGCATTCCAGGTAAAAAGAAAACCATGAGTAGACAGGCCAAAAAAAGCAGAAAGTGAAGAGGAAAAGAGGTGTGGGAGGGTTAAGTATCCAGTATTAATTAAACTTGTCTCTGAGGGAGTATTAGGATGCAGGTGAATAACAAGAGAGGGGGGCCAGCATCAGCAGCTGTATCCTAGAGGCAACAAGGTACAGCTGAAGGCTTTTAAACAGTAGAATGGAATGGCTCAGCTTATATTTAGATCAGAGGCTAAATCCCAGGTAGCAAGAAGGAAAGAAAAGATGTCCCCATCCAACTGATACTTGGTGTGAAATGCACGCTGCCTTGAATTCTTCATTCATTAATTTATTGTATGCACTTTTCTTTCCCAAAAGATTACAAATTTATTTAGGATAGGAACTGGAATTTTGTATCTACTACAGTATGCAACAAGTAGAAAGTTCTTTACTTTATAGACCATAATCCACAGATTCTGTTACCATTCTCCAACTCTTACCTCTAGAAGCTATTCCCTTACCCTCTGTTCCCATCTGCATTTCCTTGTGATATGAATTTAGCACTCCTCTGGGATTTCCTTTGACTCCTAGATTATTTTATCTGGTCCACATCCAATCTGCCATTTGGGTTATTTATGCGTTATCCTTCACAGAAGAGAAGTGAGTATACAAATCAGGCTAGAACACTTTCAGCAATAAAAAGCTCACCACCACCACTCCCCCAGTGTCATCATTGATCACACTGACTTTTGGCAATTTGTTTCTAAAGTGAGCCAGGTTTTGCTTTCCTAGAGTTTCCTCTCATTTATGCTCTAGTTCATAAAGAAAATTCCTTTTTTGTGACAGCCCTTTAGTTCCATGAAATTTGTAAGAGGTGGGATAGAAGAAAGGGTAGTAAGGACAAATGAAAATTTCACAATTATTTTTTGTAAAGCTGACCTGTGCCTATTCCAATCTACTTGATGACTTTGCTCAAAAGAAACCTTTATCATCACTCTCATTCCAATCATTCTGGACAGTCTATTTCAAGAAATGCAGAATTAGGACAATAGCAAGTCGGGAAATAAAAAGAAGACATTTCATTAACTTCTAAATGCAAAAGTAAAGAGAGTAGGAAATTGAAGTCATCTATCCAGGGTGACAATCCATAGGACATCACAAAGACTACAGTCTTGAATATCTTACCCTTCAACCAATATGGAAAGAGAAAAATTTGTAATATCTCCAGGCACCACTTACCTTCATAAGCCACTGAACAAGCTTAAACAATAATGATTTGTTGTTAAAAAACAACAGCTTAGAGGAATAAAAGAAAAAACTTGAAATATAAATTTTATGGACAGTGTGTTAGTCATGGCTGGGATCAAAATACCTTAAAAGAACAACTTAGAGGGTGAAAAGTTTATTTGGGGCTCATGATTGCAGAACAATGATCAGCTAGTTCCATTGTTCTGGGCAGAATACATGGCAAAAGGGTGTAGCAGAGGAAAGTTTCCCAGCTGAAGGAAACCAGGGGGGCTGGGGGGAAGCAAGCGAGTGCCAGGGCACAGGGACAAAATAAAAACCTCACTTCTTTTTTTTTCCCTGTTGCTGTGGTGTATACGTGACTGCATGACCAATGTAATTCTGCAACCTGTACACTCAGAAAAACGAGAAATTATATCCCATCTGATTCAAATGTATAATATGTCAAGATCATTGTACTGTCATGTGTAACTAATTAAAACAAATTAAAAAATAAAGAAAAAAATAAAAATCTCAAAGGCATGCCCCAGTGACCTTCTTTCTCTAGCCACACTCCACTTGCCTACAGTTACCACCCAGTAAATTAGTCTTTACAAACGGATTAATCCACTGAATTAGGTTATAAGCTTCATAATCTAATAATTTCACCTCTTAACACTCCTACATTCCACACATAACCTTTCAGAGGACACCTCACATCCAAACTATTATAGACAACTTAGGGTATGAAGAAATTTTTCAAATGAGGCCAAAGTAGTAAAACTCACTTACACAAGAGCTAGTTATCCTCAAACAAACAAACAAACAAATCCTTATACTTTCTGTCTCCAAATTGGACTCCTAATTCAAATGTGTGTGTGTGTGTGTGTGCTCATAGTCTGTGAACAATGTATATGGATATATGGCTGTATTCATCTCCATAGCCATATTGTTCTTTGAAGTGTGTAAAAGTTCCTCCATATGAATATTATTCTCATGTAAGAAACAAGCATCATCCTGAATTTTTAGAACACCATATTTCCAGCCCTATTGTTCAAAGTATTGGGAGTGGAGAGGAGGACAAAGTAGAAGGTAGTGAGATGTGAGGACTATAAAGAAACGGGAAACACATAGCAACAGCAGGGTGGATGAAAGGTCTTTGTTCCTTAAAAACAGAATGGGGTCAAGCAATAGCAGAAGCTACTGAGTTGTGAAATGCCAAAGAATGAAGCTGAACTTGAAAAATTCAAAACATGCAGGAAAAGTTTGAAATCAAGGTGAATTTTAATTGGTGGAATGGTGGCATAGACCTGTAATCCCAGCAACTTGGGAGGCTGAGACAGGAGGATCACAAATTTGAGGCCAGCCTCAGTGATTTAGCAAGGCCCTAAGCAAATTAGCAAGAACCTGTCTCAAAATAAAAAGGGCTGTGGATATGATTTGGGTTCAATCTCAGTAACCTGCCCCCCCCCCAAAAAAAAAAACAACGAATTTCATCACAGTAACTGGTAAGGAAATGAGAATAGTGCAAAATATCTGTCTATTCCAATTGTAAACAAGCCTAGATAAATCCACAGCCCTCATCCAACCCAGATTTCAAGAGCCTTCAGTTAAAACTATCACTATTTCTGGAAGAGAAATTTAAATAATATTCCAGAAAAACATATTTAAAGAAATATATACCAAACTATACATTTCAATTTATCTTCAGGAAATTTAAAAAAAAAACTTATTCTCATGTAATTTTTCAATGTCTGTTGAACATGTTTTTATAAACAGAAACAAACATTAAATAAACTTTAATTTAGTTTGATTTTTTTAATATTTTTATTCTTTAGTTCTCTTTGGCAATTACTACATAATATAGCAAAAATACATGTTAATGGCTTTAAAAGAAAACTTTATCATTTTAAGCACAACCCAATTTTTTTCATGCTATGAAGAAGGACAAATTTCCACCACGAAAAAAAAAAAAACTGGTGTGAGAGGGCCCTGCCTCTTTCTACACCACAGCACACCAACTGGGGGTTAGAGAACATGCATAGCTATAATTTCCCTCTCCAGGAGAAAGAAGGGGAAGGGAGTAAGCTAGTACAGCCAGAAGGATTACACATCAACTTTTG